ACCTTCTAAGGCCTCCTTAATCCTATGAATAACAATAGAGGTCGTTAAATTAATTAAAAAAAAAAAGAAAGAGTGGGCGGAAAGAAAAGATAAAATTTAACCCAAGTTGAACCGAACCAAATCAACTTGACAAATCCACCCAACCATCCATCTACAAGATAGCATGGTATTCTTCTAATAGCTATTCTCCTGCTTGAGAATTTACTTCCATAGTGACATTATTTTGCATCAAAGTTCGGTTGTATCCTAAAATGATGGTACTTGAATTTAATTTGAGAATTTGAATAGAACTGTGTTAATTTCTAGATTCATCCTTAAGAACTATGCTTATATGGAACTCTAAAACAATAATTTGAATTTGTGCACATGGTTTAACAACTTTATTCTACACATGAGAGTATCAATTAGAGACTAGAAGGGGTGACACTTTTTGCCAACAACATTATATTAACTCAAATCATTATTGAATTCACTATTTCCTTATCACTTATACAGTGAGTTAATAGATTAAGAATATTAGACCTTTGTATGCAACGTAACAACTTAGCTTGTTAAGAGATTCTTATCATAGTAGACGAGTTATATTTCCATGCTACTTGCATTTATTCCATAGAGCCAAATTCAACATTTCAACCTCAACCATAAATAGATCAAGTGTACAATATTAAAACACCAACATATCATTATTATATGCCCACATCTGAACTAAGCTTACTATTGTTGAACTAAGCCAACCAGGCAGCTAAAACAACTTTGAAGCTATAGGTCTGAGGTCGCTAGAGCAAGTCATCAAGAGCATCTATGACAAGACGCCCAAACAATAGCCAGAAAGTCATAAAGATAATTAGTCAAACAAAGTAAATCATCCAAGAAAAAAAAAACTGTTTCAACAATACTTAGATTGCAATGCCCAACAGGCATAACTTATCAGACAGTGCTCAAAAGTCATGCCACTCAAACAATATTCTCGGCAATATCCACTCACCAACCACTTATTCTAATAGCAATCCAAGCAGAGCCGGCCTTCAAGGTAACTACATAGGTGGCCACAAAAAGTGTCTGACTACCTCCTTGCTAATCCATATCCTATGGCATTAACCCTGGCTCTTTCCTATAAATAATGGGTAAAGCATCAAGCACATATGTTCAAATTTTGTGAACATAAACAGACGGAGCACCCTCGACTAGCCTACCTCGTGAAGCATTTGTTCAAATTTTTCTTGTAATTATCCACTAAAGATGATGAAGAGAAATAATCAATTCTTCTCCACCTTCCAAATAGCTTTATTTGCCTCATGGTACCAAGTAGAAGAACTAGTTTTCACCTAGCACATTTCGACCCAACAATCACTATATATTTATAATTCCTATTTAGGTAAATTATGTCAATACTTATTTTCTAGATTATCAAAATCAAGGTTTGAAATTGCACAATCAAGAATTAAGGCATTTTCTTTTCGTTAGGCAAGACGTAAGCCTCAATGTGTTTTAAGTTATAAGCCTCAAAATTAATGATTAAAATCATTAAAATATGAAAAATAAATATTTGAAACTTGAGAGTAATCTACCCTGTGACTCAATAAATAATAATATAAAAATTTGAGCTAGTTGTCTTCCCAATAAAGCATTTGAGAGTAATCCCAAAATGTCAAAATAACATCATAACAGGTCTTAAAAACAATCAATATTAAACAAGAAGCATATGATAAACAAGTAAACATAAATAAGAAGTTAAAATAAATAAATAAACATCTATATAATAAGAGTAATCCCAAAATGACCTTATATAATTTATATTACATCTATTTTATACTAATCATTTCAATTACTTTCTTGTCAATTTTTGTCATTTTTATTCCTTCCTCCATCAGAAAACATTGAGATATTCCTGTTGTAGCTTATAATGGCACTTGGGCTTTTGAGTTATTAAAAAATAAAAGACCACAACATTTTCCAAATCCTGAAATAGATGCAGATGCATCCTTACATGTGCCTCAAAAACGAGCCTCATTGTACACTACAAACAACAGAAATGTTAACCTCTTTCTCCCACTATGGGGCACAAGCCTCAAGGCGCTTTGCATGTACATCTCTTTGAGTTGTTCCTCGAACAATTTTAAACAATGATCAAAACCAACACGAAAATTAAAGAGATTATGTAATTGAGGTTAATTACCCCCTCCCTATGAGGCATATGTTATGTTTAGGCCTTGTTAGATAGAAAAGACAAGTTAGAAAACTTCTTATAAAGAGTTGCAGCATGCTAAATTTCGAAGAAAAAAAAAATTCTATGCCCTACTAAATTTGTTTGGTAAACTGTCAATAATAACTTTAAATCCTACTAAATTTGTTCGGTAAACTGTTGATAATAACTTGAAATCCAATGAGTTAATATGAAACAAGAACTTACAAAAATAAAAATAAAAAAAGATTTATCATTCCTCTACAATAAATAACTATTGCACAAAAATTTTGAAAGAGTTACAACATGACTAACTTTCAAAGAATCAAATAAACAAAAAAAATGATAGTATCTACTAAATTTATTTTGTAAAATGTTAAAAATAACTTGAATTATAATGAGCTAATACGAAACAAAAACTTATAAAAAGCACTTACCATCCTATACAATAAAGATCAATTACATAATCAATTTAAGCACCATAAAAAGATATCCATAGTGTGACAAAGTATAGGTTTATAAAATTATTCACTAAGCATGTCCCAAAAGATTAAATGATCATCATATTTGCAACATAACCAACTATACAAAACATCATATATGAATTAGCCTACAACAATATTAAGGTAAAATATGAGGCTTAACATACTGGAATCTTATAAAATTAAAATTTTTTTCTCAGTTTTTCCTTCAGTTGGAATTCTCTATTGTTTGCCATTCATCCATCCTTCTCCATTGTTAATCCCTCAGAATTTTTAGAATGCATTAACCTATCAAATTCTACTCATTATTCATTACACGTGCATAAACCATACATTACTATGTGCATGAACCACTTGTTGGCACAAATGCAAAATGCAACAAATTACTAGGTGTAATCATGATTTTTAACCATTGTATAGCTCTATGCATAATTATATTATTGTTTGGAGTTAAACTCTTATTCAACAAGTGTTCTACTCCCAACAAACAAGAAATTACCTTTAAGAACCGCAAAGCCTTATCAGGCTAATAGATTGCCAGGACATAATGTGCATGCCTTGGATTTGCTTATTGAACTGATTAATGATACTACTTTACATGTTGAGGATATGTTACCTAGTTGAATTCTGATGCAGTCAAGACTAGCTATTTTATGTTTTATTTATTTTCCACTTGTGTTTATAGCTCTCTTTCTCCTGTGACTCTTTATTTCCTTTTGTTAGCTCCTCGATTTCTTATTGGCCCTTCGGTTTTTCGTGCTAGCTCAATATTTTTTCTGTTGAAATTCGGTTTCACTGCCTGTTGGCTCTCATCTTCCTTGCTGACTTTTGGTTTCCTTGCTTATCGGCTCTTGGTTTTCCTGCTAACCCTTGGTTTCCCTTCTTTTGGTTGTTCAATTCCCCTACTTGTTTATTCCTATGCTAAGTGTTTCTCATTAAGTGCGTTGTCTTGAATAGGTTCTATTAGTTATTTTGGAGGCACATTTAATTGGGCAATTTATTGCCATTTTCCCCTTCTTCTCCTATATAATCTGGCTAATTTCCTTTGTGAAAGAGAGAGATTTGATGAATTTTTTGAATGTGAACCCCAAGGGTATTTCTTAGCTTACGAACTATCTTCTTATACCTTCCATCTACTAATTCGTCTTGGACTTCTATTTACTTATTCTCTACACTGTTCTCATTCCACCTGTATCCCTCTTCTAGAAACTTTTTTATAAGTTGTAAAGAATTGTTGAGTCATGTTTTATTGAAAGTTGTAACTAGTGTTGTCTCCTGTTTTATTGTGGTGTTTTTTTATGTTATATTGAAAGGGAGATGTTTTATTTGCATTCCTAGAGCCAAGGTTGTTTTCAGTTGCATCAAATTCTCAAACCTTAAATAAATTATATTAATATGTTTGCAAGCGGGCTTGGGGTATTTACAAAAGAAGCACTAACATCAATTCTCACATAACTTCTTCAAGATGAGCTTGTTGAACAACATTGTCCAAGAGTTTACAATAAGTACCAGTATATGAGTTATAAATGACATGTTATGTAACAGTCTTATTGATATATTGTCATTCTCAACTTTGAATTGTTTGTAGTCCAGGGGAATTCATGGCACCAAAAAGACTTAGAGATTAGCTTGTATGTGTATTACATATAACATGTTTACTATATATAGAACTTAAATCATATCATCAATTGTTTGGGTTGTTTGAGTAGCATGTCATTTCGAATTCAGTACCATTTTTCATTTTTTCAAAGATTATTAAACTCATTTTCCATCAAGTTTAGTAGTTTGTTATATTCTATTATAGAGGGCCTTACTTTATAAATAGTTATCCTTAGGATGAATTAAGATTCTATGTTATATTATGTTGCTGAATAAAATTTTCTTTTTTGTTCACTGTGACTTCATGGAAAAAGTGAAAATTTTGAACATAATGATACCATTTCTAAATGTTTCCTTTATTAATTTTAGCGCATCATCTATTTTCATTATTTCTTATTATATGTTTATCCACGTGTTCATGGTGTTTTGAATTAAATCTATCATTTTAATCAATAAATACGTCCACGCTGATGCCCAGCGTCAATCACTTTCGAGCAGTCAAGCCTTCTTTCGCATGGTTGAACTTAGAGACTAAGAGATTCAATCCATATAAAAGACGAAACAAAAACTTAAACCAAAAATGTGCCATATGGTAACATTGTAGGCAGTGCATGGCAGAGCAAAGCAACTCTTTAGAACAACTAGAATTGACTTCCTACGGGATATCAGTAAAGAGAATAAAAAGGATGACATTGACACCAAAAAACTCAGATGCAGCAAAATCATAGAAACAAAACCTGATAAGCTTTCAATGACTGTTCAGCAGCTTCTTTCTTATCAGTTCCAATTTTGAACTCCGCAAGGTACCGATAATAATCACCCTTCCTGATACACAATAAATTTAAAAATCAAGCCAGAAACCACGAAGACTCCCAAATCAACAGGAGCGCAGCGTACAGGCCAAGATCCAACTCACATCTTTTGGTAGAACACAGAGGACTCCCCAGCAGCAGCCGATGGAATAAGATGCTCATCAATAACAGACATGATGTCACTGCAGATGTCGGAGAGCTCCAACTCCACCTTGTGCCTATAATCCCTAATCCTCTTCACATGCTGGTCGTTCCCCTTGGCCTCCTCTTTTTGCTCGATCGAAGACAGAATCCTCCAGGACGCCCTCCTCGCCCCAATCACATTCTTGTACCCAACAGAAAGTAGATTACGCTCCTCCACCGTAAGTTCCACGTCGAGCTTCGCCACCTTCTTCATTGCATCCACCATCTCTGCAACAAAAATAGGATGCGAAAACTAGGAGATTAGATCAGAAGCTAAAATTTAACCTATCACCAACATTGAGATAGAGCAGAAAGACCTCACCATCGTACCGCTCGGCTTGCTCGGCGAGCTTCGCAACGTAGACATAGTTCTCACGATCTTTCTGCGACGCCATGGCAGATCCCGATCCGTTCGCCTCCTTTCCTCTTTCTATTCTTGTTTTCTCCAAGACTCGTCTTCCCTTGCTCGCCTTCTCCCGGGTCTAGGGTTTCGTTTCGCTGGCACGACGAGTTCCTACAACGAACCAATAGGAAATTTTGTGCAGCGAAATGGGGTTGGCGGTCGGTTGAGAAGAACGGGTTGAGGAGAATTTTATGCTAAATGATTTGAACAAAGTTGTCAGGCGTTAAAAAATATTACTACATTGTCCTCCGTAGGATATACGTTGAGATTTGCAAATTTAGTTTGAGGATTATAGCGGATGTCTCTCAATGTACTTTTAGGGCTATTGATTACATTTGAACATTTTACCTGTATAATGCTCTTGCACAAGATTGCTTCCTATTGCTCTGACTAGCGGGCCGCGTAACCATTTGTGGATAAAAATAGATGGGGCACAGCCAGCCGTTGGATGAAGGTGGTTCGATGCGGATCTGGTAACCCGATTCCGGCTATAATCCTCAAACAGTCAAACTAAATTTGATCTGGTTCGATGCGGATCTGGTTCAACTCAAAAGATATTCATATTTAATTTCTAACGTTGGTGTTTATCCAATGGTTGTAAGAATCCGACCATCACCAAAAAAAAAAAAAAAAAAAAAAAAAAAGAATGAGAGAAATAAGAAAGAAGAATGGTTGTAAGAATCCGACCATCACAAAAAAAAATAAGAAAGAAAAATGAGAGAAATAAGAAAGAAGAATGATTGTAAGAATCTGACCATCACAAAAATATAAAAAAGAAGAATAGTTGTAAGAATCCGACCATAACATTAGCACCTTATGCCTCATGCTTAGCCCTCATCTACACAAAAAAGTTGTGTTTCCCCGTAGTTGTTAAAATAATCAAAGTGGTGCCCTTTTTTTATTCATTTAAAGTGTAATTCTCAATGTATTCTTTTTAAAAGTTAAATATTTAATATTTTTGCAACAGTAAGGGTATGCCATATAATCACATGAACTTTTGTCTTTTGTTTGTGATATATATATATATATATATTTCAAACTTTAACTCTTGTTCATATATCTTAGGCCATTGCTCTTGCTCTATAATAAGTCCAATGAGTAGATTTAACTAAGCAACTTCATGTCATATGAAAAAAATTTGAATGGATTTATTTGATTATATACAGTCAAAATATACCCAAAGGACTTAGAATCTTATTGAAAGTATCATTGAATGGATTTATTTGATTATATATAATCAAATAAATTCAAATTGTCTTAGAATCTTATTGAAAGTGTCTAACAAACACAAGAGAGGGAGTAATTGGTGCCTTTTAAAAAAAAAGCAAATTAGCAGCGATGGTATTTAGAAATTTAGAGCACAAAAACAAACTTGATTCCTCTTTATTTTTAAAATAGTTTTATTAAAACTAAAGCACTAAAAGTTATATTTCATAAATTTTTTTTGGTTTAGAAGAAATAAACATAAACAACAATTTTTTGTGTCTTTTATTTTAAATGATCAATGATGATGCAATTAGAGGTAAATTAAGTAAGGAAATTGTAGTAAATAAAAAGAACTAAAAACAAAGTTAAAAATCAATTTTTATAGTGGTTTGGTCAACTTGACCAACGTCATCTCCCCTGCGTCCTCTCTCAGGAGTACCACTAACAAACTCCTATTTGCTCTCAACAGGGTAGAGAATACCCTCTTCTTCGTGTGGAAATGGAGAACACCCTTTACACCATTTCTCTCCAAAGAAGCCTCATTCCTTCTGCACCCAACACAATGGAGATGTCATGCCTCTTGATTATATTGATAGTCTTCCCATACCAAAACTCTCTACAGCTCTTTCATAAAAGAGCAATCGCACACAACAACCTGAAAAACAAGGACATAAACTGAGATGAATAACCTTCCAAGAAACCCCTCACATTATCTCCAGTTTTTCTCACCCTCTTCCTAAGCTATTGTATGAAGCTTTATAGAACTCTCTCTAAGAATCTGTTAAAAACTCTCTCTAAGCCCCCTCTTAGACTTTGTGATACTCAGACATTATCTCTCTCTCTCTCTCTCTCTCTCTCTCTCTCTCTCTCTCTCTCTCTCTCTCTCTCCATTTATATCCTAGCTTAAAAACTAAACCCTAATGACCTAAATAAGTTGATTTAACAGGCTGATCGTCTAGTATGATACTTGGATCATATAGCATGATATTGGATCATCCTATTTGAATGAAGTTTGTCTAAATAAGCTCCTACTTATTTGAACTATATGACTAGGTTCATATAGTAGGATATGTACTCTGATTTAACTCTTTGATTTCATGATCCAAAATAGGTAAATATTTATATGAGAATTAAAGTTTTGTACTATATGAAATGGTTTGTCAAATACATTTAATTCAAATTTTGAATTTACCTATATTTGGACATATCAAAATTTGATGGTTTAAGTTTGACATAATTGATCATCCAGTACGATATGGATCACATCATATACTTAGTTATATAAAATTTTAAATTTTAAATTTTCACTAATTATTCTCACTTGATTTTCATAAACTATAAAATACCATTTATACTATATAGTACTAATGCGATCGTATAATATGATTGATAAAAAAAGCAAGGGTTTTAATTAACTTGGTTTAATATTTGCTAGCTTTTGTGTGTGTGCGCTTGGTTGTTCAACCCACTATACGCCTAAGGTACATAAAGACTCATGAAAAAAGAAAAATACAAATTGACATATTTTACTTCTTGATCTTCTTATTTTGGAAGCATTTTGTTATATGCAATTATATAGCATTTTTAGGTCCTTATCTTGATTCAAACAAATGTGTGCTACATGTAATGTTAGTATAAAAAGAAATCTTGTTCACACACTACTCAATTTTAAATTAGTATAACAAATAATAATTATAATTTTTCAAAACTCTTGTGTATTTCAGGTTAATAAGGTTCAACAATCTTACCATTTTTTATGATGACAAAAATTTTTATCTGAAGTGATATCTAAAAAAATTATATAATCTACTTAAGTGTTTTTCTTTCCCTTCACTTTATGACAAGAGAAAATTATTTTAAAAGTAAATACACATTTTTTCATTTATATAAAAATACTACACCATAAAAACATAAGGTGCTCAACCAAAAAACACATACTTTTCTCCATTTATTAATATCATCAAAAAGGAGGATAACTAAGAAATAAAAAAACTACAAACATACAACACTCAAAAATATGGAAGGGCTCTTATCAGATGATGGAGGTGGAGGATGGAAGAAACTACAAATGGTTGAAAATTATTCCTAAAAATAATAGTAGACTTCCACATGCTATCACTATATCTTCTTATGTTGTTAATTCGACCGTTGTATGTACTAATTAGTGGAAGTTTTGAAAAAGGTTTTTGAAATACTTAATCTTATTTGGGAAATATGATACTAAATTTATAGTATCAAAATCGAATACCTCATTATAAATAATATATGACCCCTTAAGATAAAGATATCGTTTGCTAACGGGTTCAGATGATGAAACTAAAAGCTATCATCATGATTGTAGTAGTTGTCTTCAAATAAGAATCACATACAATCTCGAAAGATCGAAATGAGGTTCTATCAGTATTCAACCACTATAATCCAGATGGGAGATCATTAATTTCATATTTTATATCATAATATTGAACGATATATCTCTCCAATGAGATAAAATATCACTTATTATCGATCAATGGAATATGATGATTATGTTCGTTGTTGACTTCATTTTCCCAGAAATATTAATTTTGAGTTTTGAAATTTGATATTGAAAAAAGGTGGATGTGGGTTCTAAATTTCTTACGAGAACAAGCCCTCATAGTTAATTACATCATAGGAAACTAAAGTCTTCTACAAAAACTCTCGATTAAAATATTGACAAATTTTTATTTAAATATTTTCTATGAGTGATATCAATGGAGTTGGATTTTGGAATTCCAATAGTGAATGAAGAAAAATTGAGCACTTATTTTGGAGTAATTTAAAAAAGGGTGGATAATAGGCACTTTGGGATTCTAAAATAATTCAAAAGCACCCCCGACCTAATCTAAGTATTGAGCTTTAAATTTTGGATTGAAAAAAGATTTAATTTGAGTTGAGCATTTTATTAGAAATTTGGGATTGTATTCCCGGAGGTTGGGGTCTTATGATTCAAAATCCATCCCGGATCCTAGATCTAAATTAGGCACCGATTAATGGCGGCTCAAACCTAACTAATGCAATGCAAAATTTGGACTTATCCCGACCTGGATTTGGGAGCCAGCTAACCACCTAGTTGATTTTAAATTCATGAGTCCGGACATTTTTATGAAAGAGTGATAGAGACATTTTTATTAAGATTTTGGTGAGCTGGGGCCAATGTCTAAAGATTGTCCTAAGTGGCCTCTTGACTTATATTGGGTGAATATGCTAAAGGAAAATACAATTAAAGTTTAGACTCTTTTAAATGTGTTTCTAATGTGATGCATGCTGATCGGCTTGATTTATACTTTAAATTGGAATGAAGCAGTTTTAAATAAGCATAAAAATAAGTTTTATCCTAGAGATTGCACAGATTTCCCTTAACAAATCTACACCCTCATAGGCCAAGTGGTCTACCAAAACCGACAAGTGGATAGGTGTCTAACAAAAGGAAGAGAAGAGTGCAGCAAAGATGTTATGCGAACCCCCGACGGTTCTTGGCTTACTTCTTAGATCATTAGAATTTCTATATTATGTTAAAAAAATTATTTAAATTTGAGTATAAGATTTTTTTATACCCTTACGAGTCTTGTATATCTAAGCTAAATAAAAAACGACACACAATCGCCAAAAAACTAAGTAAAATAGGTAATCCTATACGTAATCAGATCAACAAGTAGATCAATATAATTAATTCCTTAAAGTCTGTAGGCAATTACCCCATTTATTACAACCCAGGGTCTACAAAAATTAAATGTGTTCGGGCACCATTGAAAACAACCTGGATTCTAATCCTAGTACAGACACAAGTGAGTTTGAGTGGGATACTCTTTGTCTTTGATTCCTCGATCTTCTCTCCTTCAGGCTCCTTGAATTTTTCATAGTTGAGTACCCAAATGGGAAAGAAAACTTTTCCCCTGAAGGGGATATTATTCATTTAACTTTGGGTATGAAAAT